GATGCGAAAGTTTTTTCGACTTAATTCGCAAACCGTTTGTTTTTATTTACACCATTTCGTAGTTTAAATATTTATCAATAATATTTCTTAATCTATATCACGCTTAGCTCGTTCTCCATGGTTTGTAATAACCCTGTAATGAATTCTCTCCGGGAATTATGGGATTCTTGCAACAAATATTTGCAGTATAAACAGCGACGTGGCAACGTGACGCTGAATTTTGGAAAATGAATTTCCGTAAATTACTTGCCACTTATATGTAATCTTCTTTGAAATATTTACTATTTCTTGTTATCTGCTTCGTGCCTGGTATCCTTGAAATACATTGCTATTACGTAACGGTAAATATTAAAAAAAGGAAACAAATTTCACGTATATTAAGTTCTAAAATACGAAAGTGAAATATACCTCATTGCGCGATGGTCAACGGCGAAATAACTGAAATAAATTGCATCAGTACAATTATTCTAATTATAGTACAGCTAATTACACAACGTGCGAATATGCACAGCTGCAAAACTGATTATCTCATTTCTTTCTTTCCATTGAAAATGAAAACAAATTTGTATCATTCATCTACTGAAAACTTATAAGAATGAAACGTTTCATTTTGAAACTTTGAAATTATCTTGGCTACCTCCACATAGAGGAATATGTCTGACCTATTGTGTACCTGGCAATGAACCTGCCGTAGATGGAGAAAGGCGCTCGACATACGAGAATTACCAGTTTCGTACCCGAACTGGAAAGAAGAAGCAAACCAGAAGACGGAGAAATCAGAAAAAGACGAGGGATGCAGTTTTCCCTCTCGTTTCGAAGCTATAAAAGAAAATCGTCGATAGTGATCGATCGCAGACGATCGTCATTAGTGATTTAGTAACTTTCGTACCCTATGGTTCCCTCGTTACATCGACACGAGTGAGATTTTCAATCCGGACAGTGAAAATGAAGAAGCTGGTGAGTCGTTGGTTTTTAATGCGCTCGTCTGTCGGTGACAACGACAGAGATAATTGATTCGTTTCTTCAGGTTATCATGGTCGCGATAGCGGTGTCTGTCACCGTTGGCCACAAAGAAAGAAGAAACAGTGCCTTGGAAAATTTCCCACCTTACCCAGATGCTAGGCAAGGTCTATCTTTTCACGAGCAACATCAACCTTTTCGGGAAGCATCGTTCCATCCTCAACAATATCAATCGTACCGGCATCGACCCTATCGACAAGACCTGTCCTCGTTTGCCCAACAACTGTCCTATAGAGATCAATCGTTGCCGAGAGATTATTCGTCACCGAAAAATCGTCCTTTCTACACCGACGGCTCGTTCTTCAGGGATACTTCGAATTACAAGGGACAGTCATCGTTCTTCTCCGATGGAGCATCGTTCAAGGATCAGACGAGGCTTAAGAACGAGATCCTCAAGGATCAAACCCTAAACGATCAATATTCTTATCAGCAACCGTCTTTTCGTGACGACTTTCGGTTCGCCGATTTGTACGACAAACCAATTAGTTCTTACAGGGAACAGCAACCTGAAGAATTTTCGAAAGAGTCCGACTATCTGAAGCACGGTAAGATAATAAAAATTTATGATCACCATTTTTGAGTGCAACCGTGTCTTGGAATAGAAGGATCCAAAGGTTGGCGTGTAAAGGAAAGATTCCTTCGTTTCCACAGGAAACCATGGTCTCGGTTATATTCCTATGCCACCGGTTTCACCGTACCAGAACGCTTCGCCATTGAACGAGGGAACATCCACGACAACGACACCGTCGATGGTTCCTACGACCACCCACGTACCATTGCTACAGTCTAACGTCTCCTCGGTCGCTCCAGCTATCAGCCAAGTTCACACGTCTGCAACTTCCGAGCCGAAAATGGCTTCGCTGAAGGGATCGCATACGGTGACAATGCCAACCGTGAAATCCGATACGGTGAGCGAAATATACTCTTCGTATATCACACTGTCGTATTCAATTCCGCACGCTTAACGATATCTCTCCGCAACGTTTTCCTACCTTTCTTTTCCCTCTGTCTCTGCGATTCGTTCGCGAGTTTATTGGAGAGGATTCTCTTTCCACGACGGCGTGCGAAAATAGTAGCACGATTTTATGAAATATTTCAGCGTGATTAATAATTGCTTTCAGTTGGCCGAAGTTAGCACGACCAGTTCGCCGATGTCCAGTGATGTCACAGTGATGTCGGTCAGTACGGAGCAATCTTCGAACTTGGCTCATCCACAGATGCCGGCTTTGACCACCGAGGCTAGCTTACCACCTGTCATGGCCACCGAATCTCCCGTCTTATCCTTCGGACGACAGTACGTAATAGCACTGTCACCATTTATTATCTGCTCCACTGATTGTGACCTTTTCTGCCATCTTCATCTGTCCACTATCGACGCGCGTTTCGAGAACTTACGTTACTCGGGCTTCGAGAGGATCTTCGAACGTGGGAAATGGTTCTCTCGCTCGCAATCGAGTCTATGATTTTCGGTGAATTTTACAAACGCAGACAGAGAACGTATTAAAGTATCGTTCGATCACTTTTGTTTCAGATCTCTTCTGCCGATTGAATTCCAATCGTCCAAATTCACGACGCCGTCGTCTTACTATTTCTCTCCGGCCGTGAAGAACAAATTGCAACAGTCTCTGCTCAGCTATTTGCTGTCGCAGCAAGAGAAAAACCCGTTGAAAATCAACGAGCAGTCGACTTTGCTATCGAACTACGCGTCGCCCGACGTATTGAGCAACAGTCTGGATAACAAGATACCCGGCCCGGTATTGAACTACGTACTTCCGGCGGAGTCGAAGAACAGTCTGAAGAACAACTTGCAGACCTCTCTGTTGAACTATCTGCTGCAGCAGGAATCGAACCGTGGCCTATCTTTCCAACCATCTACCCCGTCGACAGAAACTGTGAATTACCTGTCGCTGGCCACCCTCGCCGAGAAGCCGAAGCTCACTTTGCCAACTGTACCGATTGCAACTTTGTCAGCGGTTTCACGACCTCTGCAGACTCTCAACTATGTCCCAGTGACAATGCCGAGGACACCGAGCTTCGTCACTCAGGACTCTTCCGTTTCTTCTCTTCCTATTCTTCCCTTAGGTAATCGATAAGGTTTCGTTTACTTTTCAATTGCAACACGACTACTTCATTGCTTCTCATTTTCTACAATGATTTCGAGGATAAGGAACGAAATGGCTTTTCATTAAATTAATTCTTTGTACTTCGATTTTTCCACAGGATCTAACAGTTTGTCTACTTTTTCGTCGAACTTAGCGGATACCCAAGCCACTGGCGTGTTCAACAGTTTATCCGGCGGGCTAAGCGGTGGCATAGCTTCGGGCATACCTGGCAACATAGCGACAACCGTTCCCGCCAGCATACCAACTTTGAACTTTGCTCAGAATTTCCAACACGTAGACCAGACGCGACAATTTGAACCGGCAAGGAGCAATCCGTTCTCCACAGGTATGATGGATGAATCAATAGAGGCAAGGAAAGATTTTTCCAAAGTTTTCAAATGCCAAAAATGTTGGTCGGTCTGATTAATCGATCGCGGTTAGAAGAACCCTTCTGTGATCCTTTTCCATTCACCTTGGATCCTGTCTAACCAGCGAAACGCGTGCGGTTCTGTGCAGGATTGCAGCTGCAGCTGGGCGGCTTCGGTGGCATAGATTACACCTTACGCTCACCTAATCCAGCCCCACGGCCCTTGGAGCTTGGGATCGCAAAAGTGGGCTTAAGTTTGCCGGAATTACCGCGACACCAGCTTTCCACGCTTTCCAAGGTAAATTTTCCAGAAGTAATTGCGAGCATCCACCTGGAAGCTGTATGCCCGCGAGACGGACGTTCACAGTTATTCTCACGGACGCTTCAACCGTCCTGTTACATTCAACGATTCTATTAATTCTACTGCTCGGTTAGCTCTAATTCTTTGTATTACTCACGGTTGAGTCTCTAGTAACGGGTTCGAGTTTTCAGAATATCAGATGTTTTCTTTGCTCACCGATTACCCACCCTGCATTGTTTTTATACGCTAAGAAAGTTGAGAAGAAAGCGGAGCAACTAAGGGTTGAATTACTCGAAGGCAAATTACTCGATATCAAATTTTTCTACCCTTAAAATTTCAAATCACGTGTCCCTAAAATGACGCCATTAAAATTTCTCAAGTTTGATAACTTGTATCGATATTAATTAACATCAACATTGTTATAAGTTTGCAAGGAAAATATTTACTGCATCCTCGAGTAACGCGAAAAGTAAATGGAGAAGGGTAGAATATTCAGTGTTACCAAAGTTTCTTATTTAAATTAATTGTAACGCAAGAACTTCGGATGTGTATAGATTACCCAAAGGGGTTGATTAAATGTTAACTTTAAAATGAGGCAAAAAATGTTAAATTAATAAAAATTTTACCTTTTTATTACAGGTTCCATTCGGTCATCAGTTTTGGTAGTCGTAGAAACTGTTCTGACGATTCACAAGAGGATACGTTTTTCTTATAGCATCGTATTGTATTTAATTATAAGACTGCCAAAGTTTAAGGAAATTTAGTTTAGTGTTAACGATAAATAATAGTACGCGTGTATGTAATTTAATTTGTTATATTGGTAATAGAAATAAAAGTTTGTTACCAGAGATGACTTGTTACTTGAAAAAAACCTCCAGACACCACTCCTTCATCAGAAATATCACTTTAACTTTCTCTTCCAATCCATTTCCCTCTTTTATTTACCGATTCCAGAGTTCCTCTCAATTTCACTATCCAATATTGATCTTTGCATAATAACATTAACACGTCGTGTTTAAATAACTTCTACCGACGTCACACATTCTTCTTCTTTTCGCCTTATTCATCAAACTTCCTACCTTAGAAACATTACAGTATTTGCTATAATAATATTTGTCCCTCGATATTAAATATGAAATATAAAGAATAAACAGAAACGCTTACCTTAATCTTCTTTCTCCGTCATCAGAAGTAATCGAAAGAGGGTGGATCACGTAATTTATACTATGTTTTATTAATTTTAACAAGTGTCCGTGTGTTCGATTTCTCGTGTTTCTGAATGATCGTGTCCGTGTGAATATGTATAGGTATTGCCATCGGTACATACAGCGTTTTATATATTCATTTTTCTTTCGCTTAACCATAATTTCGGCAAATTAAAGACTCGTCTCTTACATCTATGCCCTGTATAGACCATTCGTAGTAATAATTAAGAAATTCATAGGAAAAACGTAGTTCTTTCGCTCACTTAGCACACGTACACACGCACTCCTTCTCAATGGACACTTAATCGTTTCATTTAATTTCTTCACGCGTACGGTTGGTATTCTCGCGCCTCGAGGGAGGCAGGGAACAACCCCTTCCGAAATGACTCGTTCCTGAAAGTTTCCTTAACTAGAGTTCACGTTTGAATCCTTGGAAACTCGTTCGCAGACACTCGTATACACTCTCGCGCTCTTTCTCGACTAGATATATAATATATTTACACAGATGTACAACGCCTAGTCGCGTAAGTTTCCTTGCATAATTCAGACACACTCGCCGTGGTACGTACACATTAATATATACAATGAAGGGAACGTAGCGGGTTAGAAAAATACAGCGATATTCCACGCAGGATCGTAGAAATCTTTTTCAACATTTTTCCAGCTGCGATATGACAGGTAAGCGTGTTGGTTTCGCTCGAAGCGGAAACACTTAGCAAATGAATGTAATTTATTTTTCAAAAATCGTACGTCTGCTTCGTCGCAAATTCGTCGGTCGAAAGGAAACGTAGCATCGAAAAAGGTTGATACTACTCGATGGAAAGTGAATTTTTTCAAGTTTTAGCAATCAATCTCCTAAGTCCCGAACGCTTCCTTTTAAGCACCCTGTAAAGAGGACAAATTTTTGTTGATTCGCGTTTCGATTAAACTGTTCCCGTAGAAGTGGAAGTAAACTCTTAGCGGATCTTTTTCAAGTTTCCCGTGATAAATCCTCGGAAGTTTCGCTATTAACTCGCTGTTAACGATCGGGAGAGCGAAGCATAGGAAGTTGGCCGATTAATAATCCACAGGCTCCACGGTAAGGTTCCTTTATCTCAGCGAAGCGAGGCGTCGCGACGCCGTGAAATGGCACGCGGTGGGATCTATCGTGAATCGTGTCGCGCTTGAAAATGTCGCCGGTTCGAATAACGGGGCGAAATGTTCCTTGAGTCGTTACCGAAAAGGGCGGAAAGTTGTTCAGCGCGTCGACAAAGATTTTCTCTAACGAAATGAATTCGCCTGGCTGGCTACCCCTTTCAGAAACTCGCCACGTGAATTAAGAAAATTCATGTAAACGGAAAGCTACGTCGTTCTTTGATCCTGCGCGATGCCCGCCATCCTGAATCCAGATTTAATTTCCGTCCGTTCACGTTTGCGAGATTTCATCGACGAAGGGAAGCTTGAAAGTTAAACGAGTCCAGCTACCAACTATTTAAAACGGTCATAAATCATCGGAATATTTAATCTCGAAATCAGGTACAACCGAGGATAGAGAACCTAACTTTTATCACAATTTATCGAGGAAAAAGTTTTCCCTATTTCTTCACTTCTAGCCATTTAGCGACACCATTTATCGTTTATCCTAATACGTAATAATTGCGGTGGTATATCTATCTGTTTAGCGGCAATCGACCAGTATCGCCTCTTGCGATCCGTCGCACAGCTCGAACAATTCGTTATTTTCTACGTTATTTACAAATATACATCGGAAGCTTAAGACTAAGTGATACAGCGCGTTCATAGAACCCATATAGAGTAAAAAGCTTTGATTGTAGACGTTATTGCAACGGCGCGGCTCACGCGAACCTTTTCTTCCTCGTCAACCTTCCACGTTTAAAACGCGAGTGTTATTTCCCTTTGTTTCGTGTTTTCTTTCTTTAACAATCGCGCGCACGCATACACACACATATCTATATAGGACGTTCCAAAGTTAAACTGTCAAATTTCTACGAGTCACAGACCCGAATTGTGAGTGGAAAAATGACATAGAAGGACGTAAGAATGATATAATTATGAAGTTTGCTCACTTTCAGCGAGGCAATTTTTCTGGAATGCATTGTTCAACGTGTATACCTTTTTTGAAATAGAATTTGTATACTTCAAGTTTTTGATTATTTAACTTTGAAACAGCCTGTACGCCTGCAAGCGTATACGGTCTCTCTGGATGCCAATGTACAGTCAGGTATCGTGTCTCGTATTTATATTGATATGTCTGAAAATTCGGTCGCGGGAAACTTCATGGTCGTGTTCGCGAGGGTGCAACACGAAGCGGAGCTATCGATACGGCGGACATGCAGGTGTTCCCGATGCACCGACCGTGTTGTCCTGCATTTACCCTGTCGAACGAGTTTCGAGCTCGCAATGTTTGTCTTTACCGAGAAATTCCTCGAGGCTGTCGGAGCCGAAGGAGAAGCAGAAAACTGAGCAGACGCCTTTCTCCTATCGATTTTCCTTTCCTCCCGAGTCGGTCGAGAAGCTTTCGGTGCAGTTAACGCATAGACAATACGGTAAATCTCGATCAGAAATGCTTCGGTTCGATCACGTTCGACAAAGAATCTTCTGTTATTTTTTTCCCCCCTCGCGAGAGAACGGATTTTAAGGAAGATCGAAGAACAATCTTCCAAATGTCAGTTTCCGTGTGTTTTTCGCGTTCAGGTGCAAGAAACTTGGAGGCTTGTTCTTCGAAGTACCACGGGACATCGTTCATAAATGGAATGACAATGGAACAAGGATAAAATGTTGCATTCATGAATCACGTTGCAGTCAAGGGAAATGCATCGAGTCACGCTGCATCGCGCAAGAACGTGCAAGTTTATCGTGATAACAGCTGGCGCTTCGGTTCATGAGCCAAAAAATATTGCTATACCTTACGAGCTACGGTAATACTGTCACGGCATATTTAATATCCAACGAAGTATACATAGACGGTACAACGTTCACTAGCTCGTGAAAAATACGCGTTCCATCAACCTTGTGTGCAATCTGCTGTTTTTCTCCGGTCCACCCCTTTTCATCTTTATACTCTCCTTTTCATCCCCGAACGATCGCCCGACACCGTGAGTACTCCGGTTAATTCGCGTACCTCTTACTCGACTAATTTGCCTAAATATTTATTTGGTAATTCGGCTCAAACATCGACGCACGCTGCCTTCGATATCCGCATCGCCAGGAACTCGAATAACGACGAATAACGAGAAAAGAATATAAACGGTGGTCTGAAGATTTCTATCAAACAATTCGCGGACAATGTGCAGCTTAATTTTATTTTTTTTTTAAGAAATTCCTTTTGTTTCGCTAAGAAAATTTATAGAAAATTTGCTAAAGGAATTCTCTGTAGAAACAATCGCGACAAGTGATTTCGTTCAAGCTTACGTTTAAGGAGGAACGATAAAAGTAGGAAAAAGCTTTGGATTCACAGTAAATACCTTCTGTCGAATTAAACGTTGAGCTGTTCGATTGTCCAATGCCTCGTTGTGTTCTTCCTTTCGAGATAAACGGCACGTCGAGCGGGGAGATTCGTCTAAAAGCTAACCAGCTTGTGGAAGGCTTTGCGAAATTCCGGATTGAACACAGTGTAAATTACAGGATTAACGAAGCTGTTCATGTATCCTAGCCAAGAGGTCACGATGAAGGCTGTGACGCCCGGTTGACAGTTCGCTTGAAGCTTCGTGCAGAGTGCGTCCATGATGTTGCAGGTGAAGAACGGTAGCCAACAGATTAAAAAGACACCTGAAATTTTACGATTACACCGGAAGAAAAAATTAATTCGACAGCCTTCGTTTCGCTCGTCGCAAAAGAAAACTGTCCTGAATATGACCTAATAAAAGATCTAAAGTCGAATCTAAATAAATCAAAAAATATTGAAATTGTAATTTGATAATAAAGCATTATATTGCCAATTATAAACTGTTATGTATTAACCACTATGTGATGAGTCGCTAATGACTTCACTATTAATGCGACCATTCTAATATAAATCCTTAATTAAAAAAAGTCTTCAGAAAATTTCTGAATTTCAGAAAAACAATTATAAATTATACTTACCTAGAACAATGGCCAGAGTCTTGGTAGCTTTTCTTTCTTTTTTCGCCGAGCTTTTCTCCCGTTTCTTCTTGCTCGCCTTGTTGGCCTTGTATATCGTGAACCGGGACCCTGCTGCGGCGTTCTTCTTATCCTTTTTACAGGTTGACGAGGCTGATAACACGCTGGGAGTTCGTCCGAGCTGAAGAGGAAGAAGAGCACTGGCGCTCTTTAACCTCTTCAGCTCCTGTTTGTTCGTCTCGGCGCCGTTCTTCTTCGACTGCGAGGTCTGACTGACGATCGCGCTTTTCGGCGGCGGCGACGAGGAAGTGGAGGACGAAGGAGCCGAGGCGATTCGCGGATTGGGACTCGGACTGGAATTCGTTTCGAGCTGTTCCTGAGCGAGGGTGGTACTCGCCGCACCCTCGTATCCTGAGTCCTTTCTCGCGTGCTGCGTTCCGCCCAGCTGAGCTTGAGCCACTGCGCTGAAACGACAACTGCAATTCGAGTATCAGTAACATTCCAGCCAGCTGTTTTACCGTTTCCGGCAATGGCTCCTGACGCTGACAGAGCGGAGGCATTTCGCGTTCGACCGGCCATCACAGGGACGAACATTCGAGTTTTCCGCTTCAGCCATGTTTTATTCCCTGTAACCGCATTCCCGTTTGAATCCTTTGAACGGTCAGCTTCGTTTGCCACTTCACGCACGACTCGCGCCACCAGGACGAAACTACCGATGACAGTTTAAGCCTTTCGTTTCTATCGACGCGTGTGGACAATTTCAGAGTGCCAATGATCGTTGACATTTTTTTTTTATCGCCGATCGAAATCATTCGATGTCCTGCAGTTTCCTCTAACAACGAATCCCCTGTGATTAATCTCAAGTCTTTCGTTTTCACGAGTTTTCGGAAAATTCAACGCGAATACGCACAATGCGTGCCGCTATTGTTCGTTCATCAACGAAACGAATCGTACGTTCCTGTCTCTACTCGTTATTTACTTTATCGCGACGATCTCCATTCCCCTTGTTTTCTCTTGTTATCGTGAATCGAAGAGGTCGATCGAAGCCGCGTCTTTCGCGATTAATCGATACCGCGTTACCAATCCAAGTTGCTGGACCAGTGGACAGTCGACAAACAAACGAATCGATTTCACGGTGAAACGAGTTTATCGGTGGTTCGTTTCTATTTTTATAGAACGTGTTCTTTGCGCCAATGAATTAACGGTTCGTAACGGGTGGATTCGACGTATCTTTCATTGAACTGTAATGATTATTCATTACCCGTTGCTTAACGAAGCGACGAAAAATGTTCCGTTTAACGCGTCTTTTAATGAAAGATAAACTGTGATCAGTTCGTGGCATGGAGGATATGGAAGAAGATAGTTAAAGATAAGGGGGCAAATAAGAAGCAACGTTATCCTAACTCGAGGATCTAATCAATTAAGATGGAACTACAAGATTCGAAAGTGAAAATTCATTTCAAAAGCGACGCTGCTATTTTACTCAGTGTATCGTGGTTCTAAGTGTTAATTGATTTTACCTCACTTCTGTTTCTTCTCCTCGGTTCATCTTTTTTCTCGTCTCGCTAACTTGGTCAAGAAAGTTTTTTAGCTGAGGGGAAAAGAATATCTGACTTTTCGACTTCGTTTTCCCTCTACGAATGTTCGCGAAGAGTTGTCCCTGGCTTTCGAGCTAAATTTAATGAGTAAAAATAAGCTGGAAATGGTAGCTAAATATTTTACGAAGAAGTCTTCATAAAAGTATGAAATAATAATGAACTTGTTTTTATTTTATCAGGAACGAGGCAAAAGTTTTTTTCTTCCCTTCAACTTTAAATATTGTTCTTCTCTCTTCGCAGTATGACTCAACTTTAATATTGACCGAAATGATCGATGTCCCGAAACGAAACAACGACGGTAAACGAGCAGGTCCTTTCATGTTACTGCTATAACTCTTTAATAAAGTATTTACGAGTCCATGTTTACAAAACACTTTTTGCCCTATGTTTCTACTCGTAAAACATAGCCGAGAAAAGCTGGAAGAGCCAGAGTATAATAATAACGGTTTATGGATACGAAGCTATTAAAAAAGGAAATGGACAAACAAAATTGTTACGTCGTAGAGGATACTGCGTATACTTAATAAACCTTCATTTTTGCAAGGGGCACGGGGCTTTACTGTTTAAAAGGCAGGGCGAAGAAATGATGCGACACTCTTTGTCTCTTGCATCAGTGCCTTTCTTCGTTATATCCTCGAAGGATAACTGTCTCGAGAAACGTTAAGATTTCGGAAAAACCGAATGCCTATTAGGCGAACAGTAAAAAGTATAACAAAACGTGGACACGCGAATGTTCGTCCGGTGTGTGACGATCGTGAGAAAAAAACTTTATTGGATTCTTACGCTGCCTCCTCGACGACCGTGGCTAAAAAGAACTCGGTGCTCTTGTCGTTCGAGATGACCACGACAGGATCAAGGGGCGTCTCGTCCTCGTCCTCGTTGCTTCCGGACGCCGTGTTCGTCGGCTCTTCCATACCAGGAGCCACGAGTGCGGCCGCTCCCAGCGCGGTCTCCGCAAACCTTGCCACAGAATACCCACTACGTGATCTTAGTCAAAAGCTCTCTAAAAAAAGCTTCTACACTTAGCATGCTTTTAGTATTTCTCAGCGCGTTAATCCGACAAAAGGGGAAAAAGTTAATCTATCATGCACAAAGCGACTGTGCCCCGGACGCGGTGCTCTCGCTCGCGACTTCGTTCGAAACTTTGCCATCCGGCGAACAAAGAGCCGACCTTTTTACTTCGTTCAAACGTCCCTTCATGGACGATTTTCACGGTGCCTTACCGGCCTGCGTTTTCATTCAAACGAAACTCAACGTAATGACTCTGTGTTTTTTATAATCCTTTCTATTGTATTCCAGTGATTCTCACCTTTTTTCCCCCATGTTTTCGACACGTAAACTGCCACGTTAAAAATGGATATCTATAGTTATTAACCCTTTGCCCTTTAATACCGAGTCACACTCGTGATGCAACTTACAGTTGAAATGTGTAAAAGGCTGGTACTTTTGGTACGGTTGAATTCTAATGATATTTGTTTTAAAATCCAAGCGATAAAATTGACAACTATCGAAAATATCGTAGCAGAGGGATTAATAGGAGAGAAGAAGCCTTTGAAATACATCCGCCATGTTCTCGTAATAATTTCACGAGCAACGAGGTTTGAAACGAATCTCAAACATGGCCAAGCTTTTACCGTTACGTGTGGCGAACAATTTTCGTTCGCGGACACGTATATAAATTACACAGGAAATTTGATTGGCGTATTATCGGTATAATATGGACGTTCGCAAACGGACGTGTATTCCCTATAATCGGATTATTGGTAACCAGTAATATTACAGATTGGATAGACGAATACATCCAGCGGCACTCGTACTTCCAATTTAAACGATAACTCCTCCAACGCGTCGACGTTTGCTCGTGCAAAGTTTCTCCGGTCCATCCGATACGCCCGACTCGAATCGCGGAGAACAATTAATAATTCTCCGATTCCCGAAATTCCTAGGAGCGGCGACGAAAACAAAGGAAAAAGTTTCGGGTGCCGCGGTCAACTTCCCTCTACAAGTCGGGTCAATTTCTAAAACTATTATGCTTATTCGAAAGAAGTCTCATATCCGAGTCTATAGAGAAGATTAATTGATAACTCGGGATATTGTAATTCTTTTTGTGAACGCTGATAAATGTGGAAATGTGGAAGACCCGCACAGTTTTTGCAGAATTGAAAAATAAAAAATTAAAGACACGTTAAAATTACAAACGCCCGTGAAACATTGAGAGATGAGGATATTAAGAGAAGGGCAAATTCGGGGAAAGAGAGGTAGACTAGAAGTTATGGTAAATAGATAGGACCCAAGGGAGAAGATACGCTCGTATGGCCAAAATGTGACCGTCGCGAGGAACACCTAAGTCTAATTTATCGACGGTGTTTATACATCCCGTAGGCAACTGCGGAAGCCTGAAAGGAAGCTATAAATGATAATTAGGAAAGCGGTGCGTCATTGTTAAAATATCGCTGAAGCTACCCCCGTAACGCAGTGATTCATCCCTTCTGCGTGTACCGAGATATTTGAATTTGATCAAAGATGAAGTATACGCGAGCTGGCAAAGAAATGCAGTATGTAGTTATAAATTGAAGTTGAAAGAGAAGCGTACTCGTTAGAGGCGAGTGGCCCGAGAGTACTCTCTTCCATTGGAGAGGAAAAACGGCAAAGTAGGTATTAAAGCATCTTGAGTAGCAAACAAGGCTACGTGCGCCTGGTCGACCGTCGTCGAAGACTTCTTCACGGTCCTCATCGATGAACAAACGTACGACACTTAGGAACAGACGGGCACAAAAGCCAGCAATTAAATCGAGACGAAGTAGTTGGCTATTCAAGGCAAGTACACCGACCCCGAGACAACGGAAATGAAGCACGGAGAGCGCGAGAAAAGCGTATTATTCGGGGATGGCGGAGGCTTATTTCGCCTTAACTTTCCCCTTCCTGAAAACATCCCTCCCTTTCGACCTCCTTTCTCCGTCTTTCCCTGGCAAAAAAAATAATGAGCAATCAGAGAAAATAGAAAAAGCCAGCGATTCGAAGTATCCTAAATGGTCGGACTAATCACGGGTTGTTCTACTGTTAACAAGCAAATACTTGAAATTGATAGCGTATTCTCGCTCGTTGACACGACAATCTTCGTGAGAAATCGTCTCGTTGGGATGCAAGAGTTACACCTTGGGAGAATTGAAAAAAATCGCTCGATCCTCGGGCGTGGGACACGTTCGAGATGAAGCTCGTTCGTCTTTGACTGGCACGAAGCGAGATCGGCTACAGGATCAGGAATAAATTCAACACGTTTAAACAAGGCGTTCTTTTGATCTCGTCGGAGGAAATAGGGAAATGGAAAATTGATTCGTCGTCTGTATATTGGGACGAGTGCAACCGTAACGTTGGCAAAATGTCAATAGATATTATTTCCCTAGCCGCGATCGAAACTGATATTCCTCGCGTTACTTTTCATCGAAATTATTTATGTATTTTTTCATTTTGAACGCGAACGATTTGGAGGAGAAGGAAAGGTTTCGGCTCACCTGCGCGTGTGCGCGATATTCTCGATTATACTCCCCGGTTTGATGTCGCCCAAATTTGGTTTCCTGTTGGCCCTCGCTTTCTTCGCCCTGTTCCGTAGCGCCTGTAAATGGTAAATTGAAATCGTCGTTTCAAGATAAATCAGGGGGCCCGACGCGACGGCAAAAAGCACGAAATAAATCTTTCTACGGCGTGCGTGGCAGATAACCCCGTGGCATCCATTATCGACTACACATATCGAAACAGAAGGATTTATTACGACATTTTGCGGGAAAATATTTCCCCTAACCGGTCGAGATATATTAGAAAATTTCGTTGTCGCTGGTGCATTATGAGAAACACTATCTTTCTTACACCGATGCGATACGACTGAATATAAAAGGAAGATATTTCACGTTTTATATCGATACTTCGAGGGATATCGTTTTCTTACCACGAACGTTAAACCATCGCGTTATGCTTTTACGAGACTGCTTGTAAAAACTGTGAAAATGTAGGAACGATCTCCTTGAATCGATCGACATCGTCTCTTACTTTCATCGAACCAGCACAAAACCGAGGAAGATCATTATTTCCCCGCCACGTTTACTCGCGTACAATTACATCACGCTCAATTTGAGGCGTGTTTCGTCGAGCTGGTATCGCGCGATCGGCAATTAATACCGCGACAATGGAAGCACCGGTGCAAACAAAATGGTCCGCGCTTTCCAGCCGGCGTAAAACGTCGAAGCAAGCGTGTGTATATTTATGATTAACCGCAATGTAATCGCGAACGCCGGAGGAACCGCAGAACACTTTGTCCCAGCTGCCGTGAAAATTATATCTGCGTATAATTTGGCCAATTTTACTTCGCCCGTATGATTCTGTGTTATTATAGGACTAACCGCGAAAAGAAATAAATTTACAGCCGTTCTGTTGTGTAAAGTTGCATTCCTCTTTAATTAACACACCCAGAAATTGTCCAAATTTAATCCTATTCTAACACGAGTCTTAATTCAAAACTATTATTGTTATTTTGATATAAATAAAGAAATCACAAGGTAAGGGCATTATATTTATATAACATTCCAGTTCAAACAAAACTACAAAGGGAAGAAATCGAAAAGCTTATTCGCAAACGCAGGAAAGTGTATCAAATCCAACAGTGACGTTTCAAAAATTTACAACTTTCCTTCCAACCTCCATCCAAAAATTAGAAAAACCTTATGCAACAACTTCATATAAATATTATTTATCTTAGAAATCCTGAACCGCGGTTTAAACATCCCTCGGATACTAATTGGAGGCATAAAAATTCTGTTAAACCGTTCGGATTAAACACAGAGGACAATCTTACCTTGAATATGTTGTAATAGAGAAACACCATGATGATACAAGGTATGTAGAAGCTGGATAGGCTCGAGTAGATGATAAAGTCGGCATTGTAGAACAGGCATTGGTCCGGTATTCGGTCGGGGGTGTTATTCAAGCCGAGAACAATCGGGCTGCCGATCGCGGCCGATATCGCCCAGACCAACAGTATCGTTAACCACACTCTTCTATTGTTCTTGTGCTTGGCGTATTTTATCGGCTGGGTCACCGCTATGTATCTGCAATTCAAATTCGTTTCACTATCGTATCGTGCACTGTCCCCCTACCTTGACGGGCATTACGTTGCCGCAAATCAACGCGATCTAGCCAACACCTTCCACCCGCTATCCTCCCTCAACTCCCATCTGCTTTTTCCAATTTATTTCTATTTCCTGCGATACCGCGAGACACGCCGAATCGGAAGCGTTTTAGAAAGTATTTACGCTCATTGTAACCGGCAAAGTAGGGTCGAACGCGGTTGAAAGAACCGCTGATTAATTGGGCTGATGAATAAAACGGAGGATTTCCAGTGGGACTCATTAAGGAAATTCTGATTTAATGAATTTAAGTGCGGTTGAGATATAGTTAATAGAGTATGGTCATTTCGTTTAATCTTCGTTCGCATAATTTAACGTATAAATTTTAGAGAACTCAATTAACGTGTTCGTAAGAAATCATTCCGAGCGTGGACAGAAATTTAATATAGCTTTAGAATTTGTTTTGCTCGGAGGATACGTCGCGTAATTCAACGACAAATTAGGTGGTTTCAAAGTTTTGACCAATAGTGTATTTTCGGCACGCGTTTAACGTTAGCCGAGAAAGGGAAACGGAATTGAAACGCGGGAAACGTGGTTCGGTATCGGTGTACCGGTGGTTCCACGATGCGAAATGAATTCTAAAAGTTTCTCCTAACATTGAGAAACCGATCGAGTTTGTTCTTTCCCAGGTCTCTTGGAAACCGTTACGCGACGCTCGTGAATTTTTGTGAACGAATTGAAACACAAGAATTCTTCCTTTAAACTGAGCCCCAGTAAACAGTTATTTAGTTCGAGGCGTTGGTGAGATTTGATTTACAGAAATTCTGTTCGGCCCCCTTTCGACTTTGACTCGTTTCTACCTTCGCAAAGGCAACCTCAGACTCCCTTTTTCCTTTTTCACCCTTCCGCAAACGTTATTCCTGTCACGTAAGCCGGTTAAATCAGCTTCTCCCATCTCCACGATTTTCCGAACTTTTCTTTTTCCCTCTCCAGACGATAGCTGTTGCGAAATCTTCTAGCAAATAAAACGAATGCAACGTGGACGAGAAATATTTGATTTTTAGGGTAGAGTTACAAATTAATGGTACTTTCGAATCTCAAAATTTCCCTCCCTGATTATAGAACAGAAAATTGAAATTTTTCACAACGACAAGGAATTCTCACCTGTCTATCGAAATCGCGACCAGGTTGAAGATGGAACTGGTGCTGCACGTCACATCCATCGCGATGTAAAAGTCACAGACGAAGCCGGGCAAGCTCCACGATCCGTTTACCTGGAAAACGAACGCACAAACCATGAAGATTAAATCCAGCGCGAATCGTGTTGGTCGAATTAACTTTCATTGCTACAGCCCGGCTATTGTTTCGATGCAAATTAGCGATCGCTGATTCTCCGAACGTTTCGCTTAAACGACCAAAAACACGAGCAAATTGCGCGCGAATATCGCGGTAATTGATGACACGTCAACCCTTTGTGAACAGGAAAATCGTAATACGGGATATACAGAATCTTGCAACAATATTGTAAATGTTTCGTTATGCAATTTTAAAACAAAGCTTATTACACGAGGACTCGATTATTTTGCAAATCAAGAAAATGCGTTCTTTCTATGAAAATGTTTTCTCTACTGTCACAAGTACAAAGGATAATTAAGTAATCCGTGTACCTTAGCCTTTCAAGCTCGCGCTTTCAATTCCTTTGTTTCTCGCGATTTTCTGATTTTCTTGTATTCAGGAAAACCTACAAAACTGAGATGGTCGTGGAAGTGTGCTGGAGAATCATTGTCGCTGGAGAAAAAGGCATCCAAGGTAAGAGCTTGCCGAATCAAAAGATGCTTTGGTCGTATCAAGAGATGAGCTTTATATCTCATCCCGTTACCCATCTAGTTTTCGTCTCTTCTACTGCTTTGAACCAGTTTCTATTCGCCTTTTTATTCCAGGATGCGCAGTGTTCGCAACCGGTTGCCCTGATTTATTCGGAACATTCGTGCCGCGGCTACGGAATCAGACGGGAGCGAAACGCCTGTCTACTACGCGGTCACGATTGTCTCCATTTTCCGTTAAGACAATGGCTTTCAAAGAGCTCTATTTCCTTCGTACTGTTCGCTGAAACTCCAAGCATTCTCCTTTCGATCGAGCCATTTCGTCGGTCGAACCGTAATACGACGAAGATTGTTGTAGATTATTTCACCTCGAATTTCTGATTTTCTCCAAATGCTCGATCAATGGCCGATAATACTTGGGATAACGGTCAAGTTTGTAGAACGCCTCTCCTCCCGAATTGACTAGATTATTCCGTATAAAACGGTCATCCCCCTTGAATGCGCAATGGCCGGGGTTTCGTGTGCACGTCCGTGCATAGATCAAACGGTGAAAGACGAAGGTTTCAATTGCGCGCTGCTGGCCATACGAGCCTCTCTATTCCGGTATAAATCGCAGTCTTGCCATTATCGATCATATTCCACAGTATGCACCGTGATCACTGGTAAAGCGTATTACGGGATAGTATTAAGTTGCGTTGCTCGTAGTTTAACGCCGTATCGATCGAGCCGGTGTATGGTTATTTTGCTCGAGAGCAACCTGAGACCGGAGCTATCGATATTTTATGAACCTGTAATCTCGCGGAAATGCGCAACATGTGCACCGCGTTGTTCCTTTCAGTTTTTAATTTAGAATTCATGGGGTGTTCCTACTCGCGTTTCTATCGTTGCGAATTCGTTTTACAACCGTCAGGTATATCCGAGTACTGCTGACTGAAAAGGAGTATCGTGGAAAAATTCAAACACCGTTGCCACATGAATGAAAATCGATGTAATAATAGTTTTCTTATTTCTACGAGGAGAGAAGTTTTCTCAAGCAACCCTTATAGAATTGGAATTATTCAAACTTGCACCATTCTAATATCTATTATGACCTATGAGCGGTTTCTAACACCCTTAAGTGTGAAGATTTAATACAAATGTGGTCTGCTCTTTTTACCTTTCTTTAGCGACGCGACGGACGGAATGTTATATATGAAAGAGGAGAAACACACGCGATGTAAAAGGAAAAAAAAGAAGAAAGAAATTTTATTCGGAAAAGCGCGCACGCATCCTGGCGTAAAGCTCATCGTGTTACAGAGTAATTGCAAGGATGAACGAACAGAAAGAAGAAAGCAAGTTTCAAACAACCGGTATTGTGCTCGCCGTAAACCGCTCGTTTATTGGGATTTCAATCATAAACGAGTAATATAATCAAGCTGTATACACGTTTCAAAGTAAAGTAAATATCCATTGGCAAAGGAGTATCGTTTTGTAAAAAAACCCACGAGACGATTCGCATTTGTCAGCATTGCACTCAATCGACGTGTGTTTTACTTTTATTCCATGGATTGCCTCCAATATATCCCTTTCCCCCGTTTCCTTTGGGATGCTATTAAAGATTGGAAACGCGATCGCCTCGAATCCTCAAAGGAAACGGCAACCACTGAGGGAACACCACTGAAAGAATAAAGTAAAAATATCAAAACACAAGTTTCCTTGAAAAAAGATTATACCTTGTGAATATACCAAACGGAATCAAACAGTCTTCTACCATCTGGCAATCTGCCGTTTCGTTTTCGAAATATACATGGAATTTAAAAATGTCCCTTCGTTGCACTCCGATCAAAGACCAGGATCGCTCATACAGATGTCTACATTCAAAGACAATTCGCTCAAATTCACACAGTGCCTGAATGAAATTCATTCAGTTTCCTGAATGAAAAAGCTACAATAAGTTTCCTTCATTTCATGGAGAAATATTCTTTTAATATTCTTCCCTTTTATCGATGATTTCCTAAGACCTTTTTACGATTCACGTCCGAATTACCCTCGAAAGGGTGACTCGAAGCGGAACGAGTCGATTGTGCAGATTTACAAGGACGGAACGTTAATTACAAGACAGCCACAGTCCAAATCCTGTCACGGTCTAAATACTAGGCTGTAACACGCTTCCGCACGAACTTGAGTCGCAGCCAAAATGTCAATGAAGTATTCAGGACGAAGTAATTTAAGAGGTACGTGCGCGTTCGGCGCTAGTCAGAATCTTGTTATCCGGTATGCGACACGCCGTGCCACCATTGTTATCCTCCTCGGTTATAACCTGAAATATGCAGAATTTCTTCCAGCACGTTTCAGCTGTTCATGAAACGCACGTCGGCCCCTTTTGACAATTATTCCTACGTTTCTATCGGTGCAAGTTCTAATTAAAAAAAAATTTAAAAAATTAACGCCGAATTAACGTTCGTTTGTCTAAAGAAGATATCCTAAAGGATGAGAATTTTCGCGAGCCGGTCAGCTGCTCGTTATTTACCCGATGCGCTTACCACGATTAATTAACCCGCGCGGTGGAAAGTGGCATCTCGAGCAAATTGGCGCGCGTCTATTTATTGTAGAAAGCGCGTCGACGTGAATTCCCCTCTTGACAAGGGAGACGCGTTACCGAGCAACACGCAACAGAGTTATGGCTCATTTAACCTGGTGCTGGGGAGCTGGATGAAGGGCTTCGGATACAACGGTATGGTTAAAATAAAGCACCGGCTGGAAGACGTAAAACACGCTTTCTTCATGCCGAGTAACGGGCATGCACTATTTTTCGTCGCTTCTTCTACTTTGTTCGTTGCGGAATTATTAATACCGGTTATAACGAGAGTATGCGGGCTACGGAGGCGGATCCAAGAGGAGCTGAACGACCGCGTTACCTCCAACCTATGGATGGTCAGTGGACGTTGGAATTTTCAAGCTCCGCAAACATGGCGTATCAGCGGACCTTTTCGTAATTACACTTACATTTCCGTCGAGTAAAAAGGACGGTTGATGCTTTCAAGAATTATCAAGTCTAATCTCTTAACGACCACATGGTAGTTAAATATTTTCCGAAATTCTTGATTACGTACGTTGATTTTGTCGGGTGAAAAAGGGGGTAGAAAAGTCATGTGCAAATATTCGAGAAATTATACGCGCAGGGTGTGGCGACGGTTCTATTCTCTCCCTTGTTATCTCGCCTCTCAAATCCGTTATTGCGAAAATGCGAAATTCTCGGTCGCTGTAGAAGCCTGCTGCTTTTGTTCGAATTAAATGAACCTCCCGCGGGATACCGATAACCGAAAGGGAAGGAGCAAAGGCCAAGGTAAAGCGACACTTCCGGTCGATTGTAAGGCTGTTCGCGATACGCAGGTAATCGCGTCGTTTATAGCCGACCTGTGCAACGGCTATAATTAGAAGCCGAAGGGAAGGCGATCAGTCGACCTTATATTATTTCGACGACCTTACGAGCACAGACGTCGAGAGGCGCTGTCAAGGAACACGCCTCGGCGTCGTTATCGTCTCCTCTGTTCTGCATTTCACCTATAAGATCGTGTTCGCTAGGCTGCTTACCTTTGCACTAAATCATGGATTACATTCGTATGCGTCTATATAGGCAGTTTAGGAATAATCTCCTGTAGCGAGCATTATCTAGGTCACTAATTGCAACCATTACAGGTATTCCCTGGCATGCATGATCAACGAAAACGCGTATGATGAATCGAACTATTCCTCTATATTTCCTCGTCTCAATTAATTCGAATCTCGAATTAATCACGTCCTTAGACTTCGAGAGTCCACAGCTGTACGTGTTTATAAGTGTCACGAGTTCTCCATTGATCGTGCACCAAGAAGAGAATAACGGATAACAATTGACAGGTGGGCAATGGAGCGACACCCAAGACGTCGGTACGTGCAACGTTGTTTCATTCGAATATCAATGTTCGGAGATTAATTAGCAATCGTCCTGGGTATCTCGACGATTCCATTAATGCCAAATCGATATCCAAGGTGCATCGAAACGGAGAATCCGAGGATTCTTTGAAAGAATTCTAAAGTTCGCGAATGGAAGCTGTAAATTTCGCATTATAATGCACTTCATTGTTCTATATAGGGTGAATCTATCGACGATACATTGCGCTTGTCCTGGCATAGAGAATATGAAGGACACAGCAACATGCTGGACATTGTCGAGCATCGATATTGTGAGTTCACCGACTATGCCGCTGTTAATTTTCCCCCATCGACCCGAATAAACCTTCAAAGGGTTAGCAAATGATTTTAGACAAAAGGCTCGAACAGAATTAATTTTTTTTTTCCAGCTGCTGTTCCACGCTGGTCGCGGATGAAACACGAAACAGCGAAAAACGCAATTTTATACCGTCTCTGAATATTAATTTGATTTATTTTAATGAAATTTTAATGATCCGTTCTATATCATCTACCAGTCC